TTTATTATAATTGCATACCTTTTCCACTAATTAGGGGAGAAAGAGAGAAAAGGAACCCACTTAAAAGATTTATTTATTTATTTTAGAGAGAGAGTATGAGTGGGGGGGGAGGGACAGAGGGAGAGGGAGAGAGAATCTCAAGCAGACTCCCCACTGAACACAGAGCCCGACATGGGGCTCGGTCTCATGACCCCAAGATCATGACCTGAGCTGAAGCCAAGAGACAGATACTCAACCAATTGTACCACCCATGCATCCCAGACTATACACGTTTATAACACTTCGTATCAAGTAGGGAGTATTCTAAACCTATTAAGTCAGCAGTTAATATTATATATTATTCTGTACCAGAGCCTTATCTTTTTCTAATACATTCTACAGAAAAAAAAAATGCTTAGAGAAATATTTTAGGCAATGTTTTCATTCATTTACCCATCCATTAATCATTCAACAAACTTTTACTGAAAGCCTGCCACGTACCAATCCCTGCACTTGGGATACGGAAGTGAATACATACCATACCTGTCCTCAAGGAGGTTAGGGTCTAGTACAGGGAGACAGGCATGTTAATAAATAAGTGTTATTAACTGCTTTCTGCAGAAATAGGCAGAAGGCAGGATCAGACTATCCTGCCTGAGCACAGGGAGGTCAGAAAATCTTCACAGGGGCACCTGGGTAGCTCAGTTGGTTAGGCATCTGACTCTTTGTTTTGGCTCAGGTCATGATCTCAGGGTCATGAGATCGAGCCCTGTATCAGGCTCCACGGGCGTAGAGCCTGCTTAAGATTCTCTCTCTCTCTGTCTCTCCCCCTCTGCCCCTCCCCCCTGTACTCATGCTCTCTCTCTCTCTCAAATAAATAAGTAAATAAAATCTAAAAAAAAAAAAAAAAAGAAAGAAAAGAAAACATCTTCACAGAGGAGATGATCCTTTCATTGAGTCTTGCCAAATGAGTAGGTGTTTACCTAGCACATGGGAATGATGGAGGCAGTGGGGAAGAAAGGCATTTTAGGTAAAGGAAGCAACAGGGGGCATAGAGGTGTTGGAGCTATGGGACACAGACTGTGGAACTTTGGGGTACCATGAGGGAGTTCAGTCGGTGAGAAAATAGGGTGAGAAAAAGAGATTGTGCATGACAAAATCAAACAGATGATGGAGGGTTTATATATCTAGGATGTGCTCAGGAGCTTTTATACTATAAGACATCTAGGCATCAGAAGATTTGAAGCAAGGTAATAACATGATCAGATCTTGAATACTCATGTCACAATGTGAAGGAGGCATTGAAGGGATGTGACCCTGGAGGGATGGAGGCCATTGGGACTGCTCAGTGGTCTGCACTAGCGTGGAGTAGGCTTGAGCCATGGCCATGGGGATGGAAAAAAGGATGCATGTGAGAGGTGTTGGAGAGTTAGAATCTACAACACGTAGTTACCATTTGGCTGTAGGGCGTGAGAATGGTGAAGAGAAGATGTCCCAGATGGAGCAGATCATGGAAGTAGAAGATGGTTTTAATCCTGTACAATTGAAGATTTTCAAGAGGAGATTCAAGAGTCGTAGGACTCTGGTGAGGAGTTCTAGTCAGGAAATACAGGTTTGCGAGCCATTGGCATTCTGGTCAGGTGGGTGAGAAGGGCATGAAACACACCTGTGGAGACGTGAAGGGAAGAGAAGACAACTGAAGGCAGAACTGGTGAGGCACTGATGTTTGGAGGGCAGGCAGAGGAAGGGAACCCCCAAAGGAACACAAGAGAGGAGCAGCCAAAGAGGGATGAGGAAAATGAGGAGAGGATGGTGTTGAGAAGCCACGTCTCAGAAAGAAACAGAGTTTAATTCTGCAGAAACAAAGCAGGAAGGGGAAGAATAAAGGAATCCACTAAATTTGGCAGTAGAGCTCACTGATAACGAAACAATGAGATACAATTTTTTTTTTTTTTTTTGCAACTCAGTTTGGCAACCGAATATGTAAAAGATTCAGGGATGCCTGGGTGGCTCAATTGGTTGAGCGGCTGCCTTCAGCTCAGGTCATGATCCCAGGCTCCTCTCTCTCTCTCTCTCTCTC